TATATATATATATATATATATATATATATATATATATATATAGTATAAATATATCTATTAAATATTTATGTATGTAATATTAAATGTATTCTAACACGATTAAAGTACGTTCAGTGTTCATATATTTTTTCTAAGATATGTTGTAAGCTTAATTGTATCCTGTTAATTTTATTACTTCAGTCACTGTCAGTGCGATACTGCTGTGTGAAATAATAGAACTAAGATGAAAGAAAGCTAGATATGCTATGTATAAATATGATATAGCCTTGGAGTTTTTTCCACATGGAGCGTACATTGTTAAATTTTAGTAAATATCCGACAAAATTTAATAGATTATACAATTGATGATATGAAAAACACCTCTATTTGGGGGAGGGGGGGATTACAGCAATTATTTTGTGTTTAATTAACATTTTTTATTTAATATTACAATAGTTAAGGTAATTAATTAATATGGAGTGTATATAAATAATATAAAGATTTCCATTTCTGATAACATCGCGCTTGACAACGCTTATCAAAAAATAAATATTCAAATTGCTTTATTCGAAATTCATTTTTACATTCGTTACATTCGTTACATTCATTAGGCCGTAAAAATTTAGTTTATTTCATTTTAACAATCATAAAGATAAAATACAGCTCGGAAAAAAATTTAGAGAAATTACGCGAAAGCTTCGAGAAATTATCTTATTGCTATATTTAAACATATATCTTTAACAATAATTTTTCAATGTTGTAAATAATATTGAAAAATCATTATTTATATCGTAAATAATATTGTACAGTGTAACTATATATGTTTTATATGAAATGTATTCTAACACGATTCGCAGTACATTTTTCGATGTTCATTTTTTTTTTTTTTCTAAATAGATATATTGTTGTAAACAGCTTAATTAGGCTGATGTAATGTTTTGATTGATATTTGTACTTTGGGAAGGATAAGATCTTCTTTCACATGGTCCACCTTGTTATCATAAAGCTACCGCGTGGAAAATCTATCTTGTTCCAATAAAGTTCTGTGAAATTGTGAAATATAAGTTTTCTTTCCATTCCTTGATCTGCAAAAATATAATTCACACCATATGTATCTCTTTGTATGTACCAAGTTTGTAAATATAATAATCCCAATATTTTTGTATTATAACTATAATAATGTTATAAGAAATAGTTGAAAATTTAGTTAATTAAAAATATTTTTAAGTATATATCTTTTATAAAATATGAATCATTTATACATAAAATCGTATGTTAAAAATTGTGGAATTTTAATTTAAAAGGAGAAAATCATCAAAGTTCATAAAACATGAATAGAGCTCTTTTTAATACGTATTAGAATGATTTCGGTTAGTTACTAGCTTTACATTTCGATATTCAAAATTTGACAACACTGTAATGGACTTCAATAATCATACTTCTAGCGGATTACTTGACTAGCTTCGATCGTTTTACTTGATATAGTTCCCACACTCGCCGTCAGTTCAAGCAGCGCTGAAAAACCAGATTTTTACTATCGATATTTCAGGTTTAGGTTAGGTTAGGTGACAGATTGTAAAGAATAATTATAAAATCGACGTTTATTCAAAGAAACTGCTTTCGATTCGTTCGAGAGCTCGCATCGAATTGCCTTTTGTACAATCTTTTATACATTCTTTGTCTTCAGGTTGCCTTATCTCTTCTAGGAATCGAAAAGTTCCTAGAACGTCCGAGGATCCTTTGTATCTGTTTTATGTTTCTCCTTCCACGTGGATTCTACATACATATTTCTGAATTTCTTTACGTTCGACTATCTTGTTTAAATACCTGTCTTCAGACATAACCCAGTAGATCTATAACATAATTAAATATATAAATATTTATAGCCCATTTATATCTAAAGCATGCAGAACTGAACATTTTAATATTTAGTGTACTTATCCTCTCAGTCAAAAGAAGGTGAAATCCAGATCCTAAATCCATCTCTTTGTAATTTTCTTTGACCATGTACGTTTATTTTGTTCATTATCATTGTAGTATGGCATTGCTCCATTACTTGTGGCACAAATGAGGTATATGAATATTTGATAAAATGTCCATCAAAAAGTGCCTGGATTTCCATCCCAAATTAATGAGATAAATTATTGAAGGTTTCGAAGATTCAGGATAATTGGATAGGAACATAGCAAGTACACAAGTTCTTGTATTTATGCTACACAAGCTGTTTACTAATTGGAAACAACCATTGGTTTTCTTGTAAAATCCAACATAAAAAAACTATGAATTTCAAACTATAAATTTCAAACTATGAATATCAATAATTCTAAACAGAATATTAGATGAATTACATGAAATAACTTTGAAAGTTAGTCGATTAATATTCGAGTTCTTTTTAGATAGAAAATATCCTATATTTTCTACCAACATAACCCTCAATACAAAATCTTGTCTAAACATGCAACAGCATAACAGACGAATGAAAGAAGTGAATGTCACGAAAGTATGTACCAATATCAGTCATCGCAGGAAACTGAGAAGAACACTTTACAAACTTACGATGCACTCATTAGAGGAACTAAGGGATCAATTTCATATGAAGGAAACAGTTTTTGGGAGGGATTTGAATTAAG